TATACATATATATATAGGTGGAGGTCATGCTTATTTTGGAGGGCTTGAATCAGCCCAACCTAACTGAGTAGTAACTGGGGAAGGGAGTTAGACCTGTTAGAGTGACAGTGAACCCAGAAAAGACTAGGAGTGATAGTGACCCCCAAGGAGGGGACAGTGAGAAAGGGGAAAGGCTAGAGGGAGAGAGGGAGAAGTGTCAAGGACAAAGAAAGCAGTAGCATTGGTGATGGGATGAGGAGCATGAATAGATTTGAGGGAGAGTGAGAATTGGTTAATATTTGAGTTCATTTTGACCACCAGGGAGACTTGATATCCTGCCTCCTGTCCTCATGCCTTTGTACAGGTCACTGTTCCCCATACTTGAAATACCCTCCCTTTTCCCAGAATTTCTCTTAGAATCTTTAGCTTCCGTGAGGGATTGGTTTAAGTACTGCCTCCCACAGAGGTTTCTCCTAACCCTTCCCACTCCCTAGCTGCTAGTGCCCTCCCCTCCAAATTACATTTATCCCTTCCATATCTTGGGGATTAGGGGCACAGGGCCTCCATGATCTGGAAAATCTGCATAAAAGTTTTTGGCCCTCCCTTCATACCAGAGAAGAAGTCTGAATTATTATGGTATTAAAAGATAAAATATATTGATTTTATACAACACTACACATATATTTTATGCACTTCTGAATTTCTAAACTTTTTCTATGTGTGCTGGCCTTCTCATGGCATCTGTGGCTTCCACAAAACTCCCCCAAAATTCCCATTTAATTGCTTGTACCAACTCATGATATATTGAAACTACAATGGAGAAAGTCGCAATGTGGAAGGGATAACTGTACTTTGTATTTATTAGTCTGTGTAGACATTATTTATTTCCAATATAATGTAAGCTCCTTGGGGGCAAGGACTGTATAATTTTTGGCTCTGAATCCCCAGCACAGTGCCTGGAACATAGTAGGTGCTTAATAAATATTTCTTGAATGAATGGATGGAATGAATGGATAGCACAGGCCTTAGGTGTCACTCCTGAATTGAGTAATGGTTTTCTAAATGCTAGGGCTCTTCCTCCTACCTCCTCAGGTGGGATCTCTCCATCCTTGTTGAGGTCCATGTCTTCATATAGGTTAGCGGGAGGGTCCCCATGCCACACAAACAAGTAACCCTCAGGCAGCCCCTCCTCTCGGGATACCAGCTCTACCTCAAATAGTAGCACAGCACTGCCTGGGACACCTCGGGCTTGGAGAAACACAAATGAGACTTTATTGGAGGTTAAGGTACTCGGCCCTACCAACATGCCCTCACTAGCCCCCATTTCTTGTATTTGAAAGAGCA